ACCTGAAGTACTTTGACTTTTGCAAAGGCGTGGGCTTGATTCCCTACTTCCCGTTTGTACAACCTGGTGTGTGGAGGCAGGGAGAGGGGAGGAGCTCTCAGCACCCAGGGACAGGAGGGGCTTGTGTGCAGGGGTTAGAAACACAAGCAGAGAGCAGGCCAGTTAATGTCACCCCGCCCTTTATTCAACTTGAAGCGAAACTCAGCAAATCTTCCTGTGATAAAAACTCCTGCTGGGGGCTGGGGGCTGGGAGTTTAGTGCAGTGGTTCCTTGGCCTGCCTGGCAAGTGCAAGGTCCCCGAGTTCGATGCCCGGTACCAAAAAAAAAAAAAAAAAAAAAAACCTGCTGGGGAGGGAAGGAAGGGTATTGAAAATGGTCAAGATGTGACAGATACATGTACCAGTTCCCTCAACCAAATGTAGCCGGTACATACTGCAAACATACACAAATAAAACGGAAAAGAGCTCACTCACTCACATACTGTTCGTAGTCTTTAAAAACATCGCAAATGACAAGTACTCATCATTTTACGACGTTGCACTTCTAGTTGAGCAATGCACCCTCCGGCCACACACGTTATTCTGTACAAACTTCCTGCTTCAAGGGGACTCATTATTCTTAACTCCTGATTTTATAAAGACAATTCTTTCTTAATGGAATGAAATTATTACCTTTGCAAAAAACAAAAACAATGGTAATATTACAACAAGAAGAGGAAGAAGGTACCACAAGAGAAAAGAGGAAGTAAAGAAGGATTTTGTTACCAGCGAGGAGAGAGGACTTTTACCCACACACTCTTTCTTTCTTTTGAAGCTTGCTTCGCAAATATTTGTTCTGACCGCAATTTTAACTGGAATTGACTTAATGTGGCCACAGAGGATGAAAGTTCCTGGCCAATTAACTGTTTTGGTCAGGTCTGGGCTCCCTGACACATGCGCAGTAGGCGGGTGGCTTAACCAAGCATTTATTTCTCATCATTCTGGGGGCTGGGAAGCCCAGGGTCAAGGCCCTCCCCGCTCCAGCTCGTGGTGAGGGCTGCTTACTGGTGCGCAGGCGTTAGTAACCACAGCTGGCTGGCCTCACGCAGGGAGAGGAGAAAGCTCTCAGTCTCGTCTCACAGGGGCGCTAATTAATCCCACCCAGGAAGGCTCCGCTTCCTAACCCTGTGGAGCTGGGGACGGCTCCAACATGCACAGTCCGGGTGGACACCAGCATCTGACCATAATACCGATGCTGAGAGAAAAACTCTAATGATAGTAACGCCAGTTACTTCGGGCTCTCGGGAAACTGCTGGGTGTAATGCGTAAACCTTCTGTACCTATGTGCTGTGGATCTCTGCATGTCCCTCGGTACAGACACGTCTGTGCCTAACTTTCAGGGCTGCACATGGCATGGATAACAGTACACAGAACACTTTCTAGCCTTTAAAGCCCAGCCACTGAATGTCCCCGGTTCGGATCCTTTCATGCTGTGCAGAGAGGAAATGAGGGGCTGGGCTGTCTCGGACTGGAGGGAGAGACGTGAGCTGAGGTGAGGTGGACAGCGAGGCCCAGGGCGAGACAGCGGTCACGTAGGCCGTACCATGAGCTCTTGTCTCTGCAACGAATTAGCAGGCGCAGATGCCGGCATAGGAGGAAGACGCGCTCATGAAAGGGCTCTTGTCTCAGGCTTGGCGCCCTGCCCGGGACGATCATTCGGCGCCTGATTCTAACGAACAGCACCTGGTTCTTCCCGGGTGCTGGGCCTGGTTGTGAGGTCAGAGGTGACCCGACCAGACAGGTAAGTCTCTCACACAGAGGAGGGGAGGACAGGGAGACCGGAGCGGGAGAGGCTCACTCACTACTAGGCGCTGAACAAGAAAAACGAAGTGCAGCAAAGCACTTAACCGTTCTCTTCCCCCATCCCCGGCTTCCCTGCCAGAGACCCAGCAGCTCCCTCTGCCCACCCTCCCACTGATCTTCACTTCTGTGAGCTGTTTTATTGCCCCCGCTTCTTTACCCACCTTATCTCCCCACCCCCCAGACTTTAAACCTCTTTGAGATGAAGGTCAAGTACATCGTCTCGGTCACTTTGCAGTTGTGTTTCCTGGCACACCGGCCGCCCCCGTTCACCACTGTAACCCAAGACCCAGCACTAACACAGTGATCAGTGCCAGTTAACCGAGTGAGCACCAGTGGAATGCAGAGCTCACAATGGTTAAGCACTGAGCTGCCACTGGGTCACTTGCAGTACCGTGGGACACCTACGCTGCAATAAGCCGACTGTCTACACAGGCTGGAGGAACTCTCAGAGCTGGACTCCGTCCGCCAGCAGGTCTCCTCTGCATACCATTTGCTCAAGTTCCTACTGCAATTTAGGACTCACACTGCCAAAGTGGAACCAGAAGGGAGCCGGCGGGGTGCAGAGCTGGAGTCCGGAGGCGAGCTGGCAGGCACTAGGAAACATCTTCTCTTCTCCAGAAGCCGGAGACCTTGCTTCCAGAGAATTAGAGCCACAAATTGTTCTACTCAGATAGCAGCAGGGCCCTGAAGAACAACCTCCTGAACAATCTGAGGACTGTGGAATTACCAGAAACTCCAGTCTTGGAAAGCACACAGTGACCTCACAATAGCCTTGGGCCACCGGTCAGGGCACTGGCCTGCCCAGGTCTGTATTCAGTGTCTCCTGGAGGCTACGATTCCCAGGGAAGACAGAGGAAAGCCCTTAGCATCTCACTAATGAAGGGCTTGTTAGGTGATGCTCGAGCCACCTGTGTGCTACTGGATCTTCTCCTGGCCAGACAGCAAGCCACGGAGCCGGCTGTTTCAAATGTCCATGAAAAGTGCCTGCTCTTGTCACAAAAGCAGTCACAGTACAATCTTTCTAAATGCTTATTAGGCATTAAGTCCCATGGGTTTTACTGAATTATGCCTAAAAAATGATACTTCTCAGGAGGCCAGCCACAGCTGCAGTTCTGATGTGCTATTCTGTGTTCCTGGTGATTTTCCCAGGCAGAGACAGATCTAGAACATAAACAAGCTCCGGTGTCTTCCAGAATCCAAGGGAGCGCAGGAGACCCACAGCTCAAAGGGGAACCTGAGGTCTCTGCCCACTGACCAGCACACCTTCCCTGTGCCACATGGTCACAGGCTTTTTAAAGCTAAATTTTGGAAGAGACCAGCAGAACTTATTGAGTCACAAATATTATTTCCTGTTTTATTTTGCTAGTGAGAAATCAGAATCAGAGAAATGCCGAATTAGTGAAACTCAGAAGAAACATGCCATTAAACGTAGCAATTTTCCTGAATTTCTCTCCAAGAACAAAGAGAGTTGAAAGATTTATAAGGCATGTAAATTTAGATTAAACCTTTTTGTTTGTTTGTTTGTTTGTTTGTTTTTCAGTACCAGGGATTGAACTCAGGACCTGGTGCTTTTGAGGCAGGTGCAGTACCACTGAGCTAAATCCCAGGCCCAAACCTATGCTATTATTATGACATGATTATTCCTAAAAAAAATTGGGGGCAGGGGTGAGACAAGGCCTGCGATGTAGTTCAGGCTGGCTTTGAACTCACTATGTAGCCTAGGCTAACCTTGAACTTGTATTGATCCTCCTGCCTCAGCTTCCTAGAGTGCTGGGATTACAGGTGTGCACCACCACATCTGACTCCTAAAATCTAAAATAACTACAATGTATTGGACACATAACATGTGTCAGCCAATAAATTAAATGCTTTATTTAATAATCTAATTTCATTCTCATAAAAACACTATGTGGTAAGTATATTAGTCTCACCTTCACAAATAGGGAAATGGGACTCATGAATTTTAAATAATTTGCTCAAAATTTTGTAGGGATAAAGCTGGAAAGCCAGGATTCAAAATCTAATGCATATGACTGCAAAATTTGCATTTTCCCCCAATGTATACATCAGTTTGAGAGAAATGAAAAATCAACCTCTATCTTTCCTTCATTTAAAAAAATCTTTAAGGACAACACCAACCCTGCAACTTAACGTTGAACTATGCAGGACCTTAAAGGCACTAATTCATAGCAGTACTTTAAAAAGATTTAATTTCAATGCATTTAATTTAATCTCTTTAACTTAATTTTCCTAACAGAGTCTAAGCTCGTTTTGTAGGAAAGCAGTATGCGAAGTTCAAGCCTGTCCCATTGGTCTTGGAAACATTGATATGTTTCTAAGTCCAGAATGACAGTTCTCTGTGGGGTGACGCATGTGCAAGTGCAAGGTGTGCTCAGCATGGGCTGGGCGAGCTCTGGAAGGCCCCCTCATGGGTACCCTGCACGCCGTCAGCATTAAAGGAAGCCTCACTGAAGCAGCTGCGCTGCAGGAGAAGGGGTGACGGCAAGAGTCGGAAATTCAGGTCAGAACGGAGGATGGTTATAACAGCTGTGCCAAATTATCTTACAGCCATCACAAATGAACCAAAGCTTCTTCCTCAAAAGTCTCTTCCTGTGTGTGGGTGACATTCCAGGCGCTCTAGGCAGGCTCACCTAAGGGGTTTTCGGCAAATCCTGTTCCACCATCCTGCTGACTGTAGCATTAGTTATTTTTCCACAGAGATGACTGCAGTTTTGTGTCCATGTTTAAAATAACCACAACTGCGTTCAGTTTCCTTGCTAGATCTCATGGGGTGACGTGACATCCCACATCTACCTACTGAGGCAAACTGGCTTTTGTAGATCTCTAAGTCACTTGCTTTCGAGGACTTCTAACTTCTTCCCTGAGGTGGGGAAGGAAAAGGAAAGAGAAATGTAGAAGAACTATATTTTACGCACACACACACACACACAACTGGTGACATTAAGCGCGATTTAAAAGTGGTTCTTTACTGACCCCCATAATACAATTTTCCCTGTAATTTGTGACTCACATTTACTTTCCTTTGCTTATTTTGTGGGAAGGAAATCATACTGGATTTTCTTCTCTGCCTGCAATGTTTCTCTCCAAGCAGGAGAGGAGCAGAAACAGTGACCTGGGCAGCTGGTTTCTCAGGGTTACCTTGTAATTTCTGGCTGTACTCGGTCCTGTCCGACTGGCTCCTCCTCAGGACCCCGGCGTGGTCCTCAGACACGGCACCCTCCACCGCGGTGTCCGTCTTCCTCCTCTCCAGCATGTACAGTCTGGGCCGCAAGAATAACAGGTTCTTTTTCTTGGTACCCAAGTTCTCTTTCCCGGGGAGGTCTTTGGGCTCCATCGAAGCAGAAGCAGAGATGGGCTGCACAAGTGTGCGGGGAAGGTGCCTCCGAGGGAGGGCTGAAGCCACCAGGACCGAGGAAGGAGCTACCTGGCCGTGGCTGCCACCCCTGCAGAGTCCCGGAGCTCCACCCCTATGAGGTCACCGTGTTCATGCCTAGAATCCAACAGGGGAAGCTGCCACCTGTTACCTGAGAGACCTGCAGCCCAGAGCTAGGCAAAGCAGGGACTGCGCTGTCACATGCTACCGAAGCAAACAAAAATCCCATTGTGTGGGGGTAGGGAGGGGCAGGAGGAAGAGCAGTGCGAGTTCCCTCAACCTGCACTTCAGGTGCGCTGTGCGCCTCGGGGGTGCCCTGCTATGGTCGCTGCCATGAGCCCGGGCAGTGCGAGGTTCTGAGAATCTGCAATAGGGTCTCAAGTTGAAAACGAGCATTTTTAATTTTCACAGCGCCTCCTCAACAAGTAACGCTTCGCCTTTCCATGTGGAACAGAGGATACTTACTAACAGCACACCTACCAGAGCCTGATCCACGTACCTAGGACCCTAAGGGTCGGTGCGCGCCGAAGGCTCCTCGGTTCCCATCCGGCACAGCCTGGACACAGCGACGCCCGTGAACCTAGGCCTCTGGGATTTCTCAGTCCTGTCCTGGGCCCAGCCCTGTCCTTCCATCCTCAGGAAAATGAACACGGACTCGGGGTTTGAGTTCTTGGCGATCTCTTCCCTGCACCTCTCACAGGGGAGGACCAGGAAGGGCAGCTCATTCCGGGAAAATGAGAGAAGAAAGTGAAACGTCAGACCCTCAGACGATGGAAGGGCAGGGCGTCGGTGGGGAAGGAGACGCAGAGGCCCCGCTTGAGCGTCTGGAAGTTGTTTTCCTTTGCATTTGCTGAGATCTCCTGGGAGTGCTCAGAAGCTCTGGGAACGAGCTGAGGGTTTTGCGAGCCCTTTTTAAGGAGAAGAGCCACGGTAGGGAGGAAAACAGCTTCTCTTCTGTGATAGAGGGCCACCGAAACCCAGCTGTGTGCTGCCCATTTGGAATCTTCCTTCACTCCCTTTAGAAAAGACTTAGAAATGAGGAAAAAGAGATAAATACAGTTTTCCCAATAGAGGATGTGTGGGCTGAATGTGATTTACATAATTATCTTAAATGATAAATCTCTGCTCACTATAGAGACATCTGTATATAGCTTTGCATATTGAATGGCTCTTATTTAATGTAATGTAATTGATGGTCTATTTTTTTAACAAGCCATCTTCAGTACATTTAATAAGTACTTTTAAAGGCACACAATCCTCTAAGACGTAAAACAAGCTTTCAAAATTTATGTTTAAAATGTCTCAATTGGGTTGTTTTGTTTTGTTTTCTTGGTACCAAGGACTGAACCCAGGACCTTGCGCTTGTGAGGCAGGTGGCAGCACCTCTGAGCTAAATCCTCAGGTCAATTGTTTTCTAATATTACACCACACACACACACACACACACACACACACACGTATTGGGCCAGTGGTCCAAATGATGTTGGTAAAGTATTTACCAGAGTTATACTGTCTCAGCAGATGGTAGCATAACTCTGCTTCTGCTTTTGTACCACAATTATACTATTTCGATGTGGTGCCACTGCAAAGTTTTGCAGTTAAAATTTCAGATTTATTGGAAGTGTGAAATGTAAGGGTACAGCAAGAAGCTCTATCAGTGGCCCATAAAAACCAGATAGAAACCTAATAAGATCAGGTAGAAACCATTTACCATGGTTTTACATGTGGTAAATATTCGAGAAACACAACAATGCTACCGCGAGTCTGTCCCTGGGGGTTGAAGAGCCGTGGTAACTGCTTTGGCAGTGAGTTAGGGGAAAAGGGTAGAAGAGGCTCTGTTTGGAATCTGAGAATTGTGTTGTCCGATGTGGGCGGTGTCACCCGTGAGCTGAGGCCAGCGGTGATGTTTCCAGGGGTCGCATGTGAGTTTTGCGTGTTCCTGTTCCATGACGTTTCCTGGATACACTTTCCCGCATTTGCCTAGTGTCTTGATGGCTGAACTCTCACCCAAGCAAATGCGAACCTGTGCTATGATCGGACAGTTCCTTTACCGATCGATCTTATGGAAACAAATCTATATTTTTAAAACGAATATTAGAGCAGCTCATGTTCAAGTATCTTTATTATATTGTTTTGTTTAATTTTACCAGTTGTGATGAACGTAGCACAGCGACTGTGATCTCAAAGGTGAACGTATATTTTCTTTATTCGTGGCAGTTTCTATATCAATTTTAAAATAACACAAAAATTCTCCAGAGTTACCTTTTCTGGAGTCAGTGAGTGAGGCAGACTCCATTCATTCTTTCTCGGTCTCCCTTCCTGCCCTCTTACCTGTCCTACACCGTGCCATTCCCGGCCACCTCAACCCTTATTTTGTCCATGGCAGCATTCGGCTCGGCCAATCAGTGCTCATTTTGTTTCCTCTTCTTCCCACCTCTCTTTCAGGAAAAGGTGGCTATGTCATCTCAGTCCTGGCAAATGGCGACCTTGGTGGCAGTCTGCTACAAGGCAGGGCATTGTTTCTAGAAAAGCTTTGGCTTCTCTAACAAAATGGGCAGATACAGCCGACTTCATTCAGCCTTTTCCCTTCAGCTCTGGACTGGACCCTAAGTGTAATGCCTGGAGCCGTCACCACCATCCTGTGTCTATGAGGACCACCAAGAGATCTATGGGCCCTTACACCATCATGCTACTGAACAAGCACCAGCAGCCACCTTTAGGCTTCTGGTCACTGGGTGAAATTACTCCCCTGCTCTCCGCCACGGTGGAAGATCTTTCTGCGAACACATTTCCAGTGGGTTTGGTAGCAGTATATAGTCCACTATAGGCTCTCAGTTCTCTTGCTTGTACTCTTGACCTTGCTTCAGCCGATGTATTTAGAATATCCAACAGAAACTATGATCCGGTTTTGCTAGGAACAGAAACAGCTGACAGATCTTGAGTGGGTGTCTTGCTAGACTATCAGCAAGGCAAGAAGAATAACATTTCTAATCCCTCTGGGCTTTCTAGTTTTTGGCAAAGGTTCAAAAGTATTTCAGTACAAGAAGTTTCTATTACTTAGACAAATAAAACATGAATACTGAGACATTTAAATGTATTTTATGTGGAAATGAGAGCAAGAGGTTCCTGGTTCATTATTAGAAAAAGCCCCAGACAGTGAAGCCAAAACTCAGCATTAGTCCTGGCAGTGAGCTAAGCCAGCTTCGTTTTTATTTTTTGTTTTGTTTCATTTTTGTTTTTCTGAGACAGGGTCTCACTATGTTGAGGTCTGACCTCATAGTTTCAATTAAGACTGACCTGGAACTCACTATGTAGCCCAGGCTGGTCTCGAACTCACAGTGATCCTCCTGCCTCAGCCTCCCGAGGGCTGATGACCTGGAACTCACTATGTAGCCCAGGCTGGTCTCGAACTCACAGTGATCCTCCTGCCTCAGCCTCCCGAGGGCTGGGAATACAGGTGTGTGCCACCACGCCCAGCTATACTGCTTCATGACAGTACAAGGGACCTCATCTCTCCAGTATCTGACTTCTTCACCCGTAAAATGTAAGGGAAAGGTAATAACCAACACTATCCACCAGATATTTTTGGTTCTCTGTTTAGGCGCACAGGAATATTACACTGCCCAGTACCCTTTCTATTTATATCTGCCTGTGTTACTAGTTTTGGTCAAACATGATGTATTTGGCTACAGCTTTCTTTCCTGCGTCCCCAGGAACTACTGAGATTCAGGCAGACCCTGACCATGCTAATTCATACTGCCAAAGCATCAAGGGGTTCTTTCTTGCTTTAAGGGGCTTTTTAAATTATTACTGCATCATTCCAGATGTAGGTGAAATTATGCATCAACATTATTTAGGTCTACCAGTATGCAATTTCATGGTTCTAATTCCCAGAAAGAGTATCTCCTAAATAATATTGTGAATTAATTGAGTTGGAGGAGAGAAAAGGAAAAGTTAGAAACTTTTTCTAGAAATCTAGGTAAGAAAAGTGTGGACTAGAGTAGTAGTGATAGAAATGGGGAAAACGTGATAAGATTCAAAACACTGTCAAAGTTGAGTAGACATAATTTTTAGTGAGTTTCACTAAGGTGGGCGAGTAAAAAGAGAAATGAAACCCAATGAATCTGAGATATTAAGACAGTGATCGGGAGAATGTTGATGCCGTTTGATGATTTAACAAGAAAGAAGGGCAAGGTTCAGAAGAGCAGGGTTGGTGGATTCAATATTTCTTTCTGATCAGGAGCAGGACAGAAGAGCACCCGAAATCAATGGCATTTGTAGTACACCAACAATGAATGGGACAAAAAGAAAGTTAGGGAAATGATACCTCTCACAGTAGCTTGAAGAAAAATGAAATACCTAAGAATTAACCTAACCAAGGAAGTAAAAGACCTCTACAAAACCTCTGAAAACAGAGTCTAAAGAGGACAACAGAAAATGGAAAGATGTCTCCTGCCACTGCATAGACAGAATCACTATTGTCAAAATGGCCATATTCCCAAAATTGGTTCTAATTCCCAGAAATATGATATTATATATTGAATATATATATATAATATATATATATTAAATATGATATTATATATATATTATATGATATTATACAGATTGCACGCAATCCCAACCGAAATACCAATGGCATACTTTACGGGTCTAGAAAAAACAACCCTAAAATTCATATGAAACCAGAAGAGACCCAGAATGGCAGAATCAATTTTGAGCAACAAGAGCCAAGCAAGAAGCACAGCAACACCTGACTTTAAGCTGTACCACAAAACAATAATGATAAAAATGACACAGTACTGGACTAAAGACAGCTGTGTGAATCAGTGGAACAGAACCGAGGATACAGAAACCTCCTCCAACACATTCAGCTATGTAATCTTCAACAAAGGGCCAAAGCATATGTTGGAAGAAAGAGGGCTGGGAAAACTGGTTATCTGTGTGTGAAAGACTGAAACTGGACCCTTATCTCTCACTGTATAGTAAATTAAAATCAAAATAGATCAGAGATCTAAACATTAAAATGAAAACATTAAACCTACTGGAAGATAAAATAGATAAAACACTTGACAACATAGATGTAGGAAAGGATTTCCTAAACAGAAGCTCAGTTGCACAAGAAATAA